CTATATATCTATATAGATATATATATATGAGAGAGAGGTGGGGGGAAGTAATGCAAGTCAATTCTGCTGATAAGCATTCACAGATTACTTAATAGTAAACTTCATTATGGTCTCTATCAAGTTACATTACTATTTAGAAATACTAGATTCACCATAGAAAACTGAAACAGTCCCGGAATATATATTCCACCTCAACTTTTTAATAGAGAAAATCTGTTGACTGATTTTGGTCATCAGTAGATAAAAAGTAATTATATAAATGCTAATGATGGTTCTACCATTGTATTTGAAGCTAAGTTAAAAATCTCTCCCCAAAAATGATTTTCCAAACTTTCTTTTTCTCTTCTGGCCCATATCCCTTCTGCTGTTCCCTCACAGACCCTGAATTTCTTTTGAATATCTCCATATCCTTAATATTCCCTGCTTTAATTTAATTTGATTTTAAAAAACTCTTTCTGTGGGAGTGGCAAGAGGCTTTTACTTAAGCTCTTTTATTTGAGACCAACCAACTACCTTCATAAAACACGCCGTGTCTCATGTATCTAGAGGATAGGACATTGGGAAAACATACCCATTTTAATAATAAACATACATTGTTTCACACATGCACCCAGGAGAGTTCATGGAACTCATAATAGTAGGAAGGGCAGCAGACAGAGACTAGCTTGCGCAAATTTGGAAACCTCAAAATGGAATATACAAATGGAAACACCAGTTTAGTGCTCAGAGAGGTTTTTCATGTGAGTTGAACAAATGTACAAAAGAACTTGGATTTTCCTGGCTCATATTTGAGTTGAACTGACATCTGGCTCTAATTTGCTTTTGAATTCCTTTTGCTCAATTCATCAAGATCCAAATTTGCCATAAAGAAATTGTACATTTTATAGACAAATACAAAGGTTTAAAAAACACCTAGTATTAATTTTTGCACACTAGAGGGCACTAAAATATGCTACAGTGTAAAATACTTAATATTTTACCATAGATGACTTTTGACAGAATAATTTTCTTAATGTTTAAATCTTTAAATAAATTCAGGAAGAATAATAGGACTAATACATCATTGTAAATATTAACTTTGAAAAATTGTAAAACTATGCTTTTAAAATGATAATTGCATCAGATTTTGCTAAGAGAATGCATTTCTGAACTTAAGTATGTCAACACATTTTATAAGAACTTCTCAATATTTTCTTATAATTACCAGTCTCCAAAAAATGTTTAAAATGCTTTTCTGATGACTCTTCATAGTATCTTTCCCAACAATCTTGATGTAATCACATCAGTGTACTAGGCAGTAAGCCCTCAATTGACAGACTACACTGATAACTCTTATTCCTTCTTTGCCTTGGATTTGCCCTCACTTTGAAACAATGTAACCAATCCTACTGCCAATAAATTCTTCATTTTAAAAAATCATTTAAACAAATCTAGCTTTTTTTCTTGGACTAATTCAATGTCATGTAGTCAATTTCAACTCATTGTGACCTAATATAAGGTTTCTGAGGCTGTAAACCTTTATGGGAACAGACAGCCTCCTATGTTTACTGTGAAGAGGCAGGTGTATTTGAATCGCTGACCACGGGGTTGGCCGTATAGAGCTCATTCCACAACACCACCAGGGTTCCTCTCTTGCACAAAATTAAGGCTAAACAACCGTATTCTTCTGTTCCAAATTACTCACAGATTGAATTAAAGACATACTTAAAGTGAAACTCATTTTTAACCTGGAGACGGCCTGTAATGTCATTCATTGCTCAGTATCAATCATTACTGGGGCTAAGCATAACTGATCCTCCATTGGCTGGATGAATTATGTCAGAGCTGGTGTGTATTTAACTTTTATCCTATTAAAATGCTCTCAAAAAGCAAGCATTGTTTTATGTTTTAGTAAAGAATATTTATGTATTTTTATAGTATTATTTTTGTCGTTTCCCTATTGAAGTTATCCTTCTCAGCACTTTGATACCCTTATTTCAAAAATCACTTCTTATAAGCCACATAAAATGAGAAACAATGTCCCCTGCCCAGTTCAGACTGTCCTTTGTAATTATGTACATCAACTAGTGATAAGAAAAGACAATTAGAACTGTGTGTGGGATAGATCAGAAGCCATTTGAGTTAGTTAATTGTGCCAGCCTGGCTGATAATCACATGTGGGGCTAATTGAAAGGTGGAGGGATAAATGGGTGGTGAGCCTCGCCTTTCTAGTTCTCGGGTCTCTTTGTTTTGTGATGGTTGCACCGGTGTAGCTGCCTTAGCAGTTCCCTGCTTCAGCTTGCAAGATTGACTTCCTACATGACATCCCCAAGGAGAAGCCGCATGGATCTATCCCGATGCAGCCCTGGGTGCTGGAGCAGCCGTGTGGAGACCCCTGCTAGTGCTGAGATGCTTGTTCATTCACTGACTCAGCTTTCCTCCTGCAGTCAGCATCATTGCCTCTGTTTTGTGAGGTGGAGGACTTTGTGGACTGGTGTTGGGTTAATGGGTTAATGTTGGGCTTGTGGGCTTGGGCAGCATTGGGTTGGGATGTTTTTGTGATGCACCTTTTCTTTACATAAAACTCTCTCTTATCCATGATGCTGTGGATTTGTTTCTCCAAAGTACCCAGACTAATACACCATTCAATCCAATCACGCTTCAGGGTCATTACTTTTAATGCTCCTCTTTGAAGGGAATGCAGGAAAGCAATTAAGGAGCAAAACTTAAAAATAGGTCAAAACACAAGCAAGCAGAAAGTTAACACCAGAATGAAAAACATCATTAACAAAGACATGAAAATACTGATGAAAATGTAACTGTGTTTGGTTTTAGAAAAATCTAAGTAAGAGGGATTTGTCATCTCTAGAGGATACTGTTCGGAAAGCTGTGCTTTAAACACTCTGCCAAAGGACTGAATGTTTTCAGTGACAGATAAATAAAACCACCAATTGGTATAAACTATTGTGTACCATAATATTCAAATCATATATAGTATACATTCTATATTCATTAGGTATATACCTAATACACTAAAAGAGTATATATTATAGTTACATGTGCTTTTATATATTAGGTATCTAAGAGAGACTACTGGAGCTTTGATGATGTAGTGGTTATGGGTTGGGCTGCGATCTGCATGGTGGGCAGTTTGAAACCACCAGCAGCTCCTCGGGAGAAAGGCTGGGGTTTCTACTCCCTTAAGCAGTTGCAGTCTAGGAAACCCAGAGGAAGTCACTGTGAGTCAGCATTGACTCGGAGCAGTGAGTTTGAGGAGAGACAAGACTGCTCCTTAGAATTTCTGAGACTGTAAACCAGCGGTTCTCAACCTTCCTCATGCCGCACCCCCCCAACCATAAAATTATTTTCATTGCTATTTCACCACTGTAATTTTGCTACTGTTATGAATTGGGTGACTCCTGTGAAAGGGTCATTTGACCCCCAAAGGGGTCGTGACCCACAGATTGAGAACTGCTCCAAACCTTTATTGATGCACAGAGTTTCAGCTCTTATGCACAGAGGGGCTGGTAGGTTTGAACCGTTGACTGTGAAGTTAGCAGGTTAGTGCTTAACT